ATACCATGTACCAGATGTGTTAATCTTCTCAAATAAGGACAACACATCTGGCGTAGCAGCTACAATCCCAGATACTACTTGACTGGTTTTTCAATAGTCAACTGCCATTCTCCACAATTCATCTGTCTTCTGCACTGGCCAGATAGGAGAGCTAAAGACAGATGTGGGAATTCACACCCCTGAATTTTTCAAGTCCTTCCTTGATGGTGGCACTAATTTCTGCGGCTCTTCCAATGATATGATACTGTTTTTAATTCACTCTTCCTTTATAGAAGCAACTCCTAAAGTCTTCCATTTAGCTTTTCCAACTATAATAGCCTTCACCCCATAAGTCAGGGATTCAATGTGAGAATTCTGCCAACTTCAAAATATTTCTATCCCAATTATACATTCTGGGACTGGGGAAATGACCACAGGATGAGTTCCAGGACCCATCGGACCTATTGTGAGTCAGACTTCAGACAAAACTTCATCAATCACCTGGCCTCCATAAACCCCTACTTTAACTGGAGGACAACATGTTTCTTGGGATCTCCTAGAATCAGTGTCAGCTCAGAACCAGTAAATAAGAAACTCCCAGAAAGTCTGATTGTTTCCTTTCTCCCAGTATACAGTTACCCTTGTAAAAGGCCACAGGTTCTTTTGGGAAGAACAAAAGAAAGGCTAACAATAAAACTTTTCAGTGTTTTATCAAGGTCCTTCCTCAGAGAAACCTGGCTGTCTCTTCATTCAAAGGGTTCTGGGTCTGCAAACTTGCTTAATCTAGAAATTGACTGCTTTTTGCCACAATCCAATGTAGCCCTTTTCTTTCTTACTTTGAGAATTTTTCCAAATATAGAGATTAAACAAAAATTCAGTAGGTTTCTTATCTATTTCATTTCTGGAAACAACATAATTGATTAGCTAGTATCAAAGGACCATATGACTCATACTCCCATAAAATTCACTTGCTCGTGCTATTACAAGTTAGGTCATTATGGACATTGGTTTGTCTATGCTGCCCCTTTACAGTAACCCCGATCACCTTGCCTTTGACTGGGGCCCAATTAAACCCACTGCATTTAATTCAACCAATTGAGCAGCAGCATCTCCAATCCTAAAGAAAGAGGGTGACAGCAAATCTCTACAAGTATACTGTTTCCATCTTACTGCTATGTCTCTAGGCCTTCCTGGAGGGTTAGATTTTACACAGTATACCACTAACATTGCAATTCCCAAGCCTAAAAATCCCCTCTTTAACACTAAGTCAAGGGCTACCAGGCATGTCTAACTCCTTTCCAGTAGGCCATCTTCTAACAAATGCTTTAGCCAACCATTCAAACTAACTTTTGTTAATTCTTTTTTTAAATTCTGTGAGCTTCCATATTAAACCTAGATCTCCACTCAGAGGGCTCATATCAATAAACTCAGCTTGATCCAGATTTATGTTCATTCTACCATTTTCCTTTACCCTTAAAACCCATTTCCACACATCATCAAATTCTGCTTGAATGAATTAGCAAACTCACTAAGCTCGTTAGTAGTATAGCATACGTCTTTGTGAACTACACTTGCTACCTCTCCTCTAGGAGTCTGAGGCAACTATTGGTGAGCCTTGAAGGATACCAGTATCATCTCTCTCCTGGCATTTCCTTCAAAGAAAGTCACTGCTGGTTTAGCAGACAATGAAGGATTAATTTCCTCACTCAAAGGAAGAGTGTGAGTTGTGAATATTTTCTGCTGAGGATGGAGATAAACCCTTGAGAATCCGAAGGTTCAAAGTTCTCAGCTTCAATGGGGTCATCTCACATATCCCCATCCAAGTTAAAGAATCCCATTGTTTACCAATCAATGCCCTTACTTAAACACCAATATTCCTTCAAAGTTGGGACTTGTACTTCAGCTAACCTTATAATAAGGACTTCGGTTTGATTTTCTAAAATTTGAGCTCTGTGGCTGCTGGAGAGAAGATTCTCTTCCAACCTTTAGACTGTTTGTGTGCATCTGGAGCTGGTCAGTTTTATAATTTTATAACAGCTATTGTTGTCCTTCACCATACTTGCAGATGCTAGAAGTTGGTTAATTTTATATGGAGCTCACTCCTTTCCTTCGTCAATTTATCCAGAGATCTACGAGCAACAACCAAGATTGCCATTTTCCTTATTTTTCCACAAATTATCAAAAGTTTTATATACAGAGTCACCAAATCCTTTACAGCTTACAATTTGTGAATCATGATAATCAAATGCATTTACCTCCTTAAGTTCGTAAAATGGGTCATACCATGGACTTTCAGTACTCTCCAAGCTTCTAGAAGAGGCTTCAGTAATTGGAGGTGTTGGCAAAATTGGAAAGCCTATTCCAGATATTTAAAAAAATTCATCTTTATACTTCTATTGCCCTGCAACCAGTTTTAATACTAAAATCTGTATTAATCAGGGTTCTCTAGAGAAACAGAACTTACAGAATGAGTCTATGTATATAGAAAGCAGATTTATTAGAATGACTTACAGGCTATGGTCCAGCAAGTCCAAAAACGGGCTGCCTATGAATGGAAAGTCCAAGAATCCAGTAGTTGCTCAGACCACAAAACTAGATGTCTCAGCTGGTCTTCAGTATGCACCAGAATCACAAAGATCACAAAGAATCACTCTAATGCCAGTGAAGAAATGGACTTGCTAGCAGTCATTTGAAGGCAAGCAAGCAAAGACAGCAAGCTTCCTTCTTCCCTGCCCTCCCACAGAAGGCATGGCCCAGATTAGAGGTGGGTGGGTGTTTCTACCTCAAAGGATTTGAATTAAATCATCTCAAAGATCAGGTCTGATCATCTCAAAGATCAGGATTAGAAGTGGATCTTCCCACTTCAAATTAAGCAAAAACCCCTCTCAGGGATGGCCTCCACTTTTAGGTTTTAGTTAATTCCCGACATAGTCAGGTTACCAGAGTATCAAAAGTACTAACCAGGCTCAACATCACTTAGCTTCTGAGACCAGGCAGGACTGGATAAGTACCATGGCCATGACTCCTGGTGTCCTTTCTAAAATTGTAGTCCTGGCTGTCCTGGAACTCATTCAGTAGACCAGGCTGGCCTTGAACTCAGAAATCCACCTGCCTCTGCCTCCCAAGTGCTGGGATTAAAGGCGTGTGCCACCACTGCCCGGCTCGTGCAGACTTTTCTAAACCTGACCTCACACTTGTCTGCTGTGATTTTCCTACCTCTCTTTTCACAGCAAATCTCTGAAACAAAGGCTCATTATAAACATAAACACTTTCATCCATCTTTAACCTTACCCAGTATACATTGCCCCAAAGTGTTAAATATCTACAGAATATCAAAATAAAAGGATAACATTCCCCTCCCCCTTTAGACAAGGATCAATTTTTAAAAATTCCAGTTTTTCTTTCTAGAAATACATTTCCAATACAAACTCACATTTTAAATCTACTAACGGTTACCATTAAAGCTTACTGCTGAAGGAAGTTAAGAAAAGTATCCCATAGTATCCCCCTCCCACACACAGACACAGAGACACACAGACACACACACACACAGAGCACATCTGAGGTGGGGGTGGCGATGGAGTTATAAGAAATTCTCATGCATACCAAACAATGGAATAAAAGTATGTGGAGAAGGTAGACTAGAAATACGACTCAAATAGGAGGTTATATCCTTGTAAAAGGAGTTTTATTTTTATGTTGAAGATGAGGAACCCTAAGGGCCTTTTCCAGTCCCGCACCCTCCTTAAAGCTTCCCCCTCCCACCTGGGGTCAAGACTAGGCCGAGTTCCATTCTCCACCCACAGAAACATTCTTGAGTAAACAATTCTCAGGATGTACTGACATAGTTACCTGACCCTCTGGAAAGTCCCAGGTAGAGTGCAAATGCATGTCATGCATGCTAGTGCCCCTAAAAAATATAAACACTGCTTGTAATATCCATCTGGGGGTCACCTTCGCTCCGGAAAATAAACCTCTTGCCTTTGCATCGATCTGCATCTCCGTGTCGGTGGCATCTTGAAGTAAGTACCACTAGTGGACCAAGGGTTGGGGTCTTACAAAAACAAGAGCCTCAACTGGACTTAACTTGGTAAGTGCAGGCTGAATCATTGGCAAATGCCAGCGTGCCCTTGGTCTGGTGCAGAGGATCCAATCCAGGTCTTGGTGACTATTAGGCAAGCACTCTACTGAGCTACATTTCCACTCTCAAATTTTTTTTCCTTTTAAATGGATAATGATATACATTAAACAGTTACAGTATACTCCATTAGACAATGTTCTCAAATGTGTAGACTAGGCTGGTCTAGATCTCAAATAGCCACTCTTTTGCCAAAGGACTGCATGCACCACCATGTCAAGCTGCGTTAAAAAGAAAGTTTTAACGTTTTAATTTACTTTTTTTTTCTTTTTAGCTTTTCGAGACAGGGTTTCTCAGTATAGCCCAGGCTGTCCTGGAACTCACTCTGTAGACCAGGCTGGCCTACGTTTTTAATTTACAAATATAAAGATTTTACAATAAGTCAGACATTACGTTCTATGCATCTATTTAAGTTTATAATCAAACAAAAATTTTAAAACTTCATTTAAATGGCCTGGAAGTGTCGTTCGATAATCTAGTGCGCAAATGTAAGCGTATGTGTAAATACATAAGGTTCAAGCTCCAAAACCTAGGAAAGAAAAATTGCTAGTTCGCTGGAGAGGGACTACAACCTCTGACAAAGTAAATCACCCACTATATCATTCAAGTACCCTTGCTAAGACAAACAACCTCTGTTTTTTCCACCACTTAGGCATTTTCCCGTAGGCTAGCAGCGGCCCCTTCGGGTACCCAGGGTGACCTCCCTCCGCCCGCGCTAGCCCTCCCACGCATGCGCACTACCCATCCTCCCCACCGGGGCTGCTGTGTCATGGCTGAGCGGAAGTCGCAGCCTCAGAGAGAAGACCCAACCCTAAAATGGATGGCGCAAGCTTCCTCCTCTCCCTCCCACGGCCTCGTCTCGGCCTCCCAGGGCAGGCCATACCTTGCACTGTCCCGAACACTTCGTAGTCCACAGACTTCAGCGGCTCCGCCATGACGGCCAGGCTTCTCGCGAGCAGCCGTAGCGGGTTGTGTGGCGCGGAGCGTGCGACGGCCGCCAGGGGAAGGAGGCTCATGGGCGCTGGGATCCGCGCCCGGCGGTCGGGACAGGAGCGCGCCGGGTCACGCGTCGGAAGACGGCAGATGACCGCAGTCCACCGTGAGGGCGGCGGGACTCCGGGCGCTCGGGCTCGCAAGCAGGGTGCTCCCCCTCTGCGTTCCCCAGGGCCCGGTGCTCTAAAGAAAACGGAGGCTCGTGCCAGGGTCGGGCATGTGAGGGGATTAGACCAACTAATAGATAGAATCATCTACTCACTGACGTCTATTTGACGCCCCCCCCCCAAAAAAAAGGTGTTGGTTTTGTTTTTTTTTTAAGTAAGGATGAAAATAGGAGAGCGACTTGTTGGGAGGACAGAGGGGTAGAGCCTGCGTGGGTAGGGATGAGAAGGATAATAGGGGATGGAAATTACCAAAATTCACTATATACAAGGATAATATGTCAAGGAACGTTTAAGTTTTAGGTGTTTTTATATAGGTACACTGTAAAGAATACATACCCATGGATACACTGTAAGGAGATTAATTCAAGCTAATTAACTTTCGTCTCACTTCTGATTTCATTTAAGATCTCAACAATTTTAAATACATATCATTTAACAATACTCAGCATTGTGCAAACATGATATCGTATTCAAACCGTCACAACTATGGAATCAACCGATTTTAAGTCATTCTCAGATATCTTTAAGTTCTCTCCGTTAAATTCAGATCCAAATCTAAGGTCTCCACCCTCCACTAACCTGCTTTTGTATGCTTCCCCAAATCCTGAATGTGTCCCACTGTCAAGAGTTCTCAGTACAGCATAATAAAATCTCTGAAACCTACATTGCCTGGAATACCTCCCCTCCACCATGTACTCCCTAATTTTCCCTGTGGTGCTCTGGAATGCCTCCAGGCACTTCCAGATCTCCCCTGTGATGCTCAGTTGCCTTTGCAAGTGCTTGTTAGATTTCGTCCCACTCTGCATTTTTTTCCATTAGTTCTGTATCTTAAAAATCACTGACTGGGAAGGAGACATTTTCCTTTTCTTAATCAACCCTCCACTTCTCTGCACATTTATTTACCCAGGAGTGGCTCTGCCAGCTATTATGTCGTTCTTTTTTAACTTTAGCAGTGCTGTAGCAACAATTGACATTTGCTAAGCTAAAAATAATGTACTGTCTGCCAACAGGCGAACATTAGCAAATGGAAATTTTTACCGTTTCAGCATGGATTGCTAATAAAATATGATTCTAAAACTTTAGAATTGTAAGCAAATGTTTCTATTAAGAAATTTTAAATAAAAAATTAGAAAAAAATTAGAAAATAAAATTAAACATCCATAATCTTAACACATTTAATACATTTTCTTTCTATCTCTCATATGTGTGTGTATATATATGTATATATATACATATATATGTATTTAAGTTCTTACGGCATGAATTCAACTATAACATAAAAATAAAACATGCATGCTTTAAGTATGAATTGAATTTTTGTTCTGTTTTTTTTCATATAATAGTCTTTCTAATAAATATTTTAATAATTTTATGATATTAAGTGTATATAACCGTGAATTAACCTACAAAGCGTCTATTGCACATTCAGGCTACTTCTCATTTTTTACCATCATAAACATATTATAAAAGAAATATGTATGTAGCTTCCTTTCTTTCTCTTTAGCATAGTCAGAAGTCAGGTCTCACAGTGTAGCCACCTGACCTTAGACTCTCAATCCTCCTGCCTCAGCCTGCCTAGTTTGAGATTATGGATATGTACCACTATATCTAGTCTAAAGCATTGTTCTTTTCTCTCTTTTGTTTTGTTTTATTTTGTTTTGGTTTTGTTTGTTTGCTTTTGAGACAGGGTCACAATATGTTGTCCTGGCTGGCTTGGAACTTGCTATGTAGATCAAAATGGCCTGGAATTCACAGAGCTCTGCCTGCGTGTGCCTCCAAACACTGGGATTAAAGGCATGTACCACTATGGCTGCATGTATTATTTCAAAGATTTATTATTTTATTTTATATATATATATATGAATGTTTTACTTGCATGTATGCCTATGTGTGCATGCCTAGGGCTTGCAGAGGGCAAGAAGAGAGTACTGGATTGTTTGGAATTGGAGTTAAGTGTAGTTGTGTGTTGCCATATGGGTCCTGGAGACCAAAGCCAGGTCCTCTGTAAGAACAGTAAGTGCTCTTAACCACTAAGCCCTGTCTCTAGCCCTGCATATATTGTTCTTAATACATTTTCCTGAGTTATATGTATTATATAAGAGCTCTACCAAGTTAAACAGACTACTGCCAGTCCTGTTTATGATTGATTCATTATACAAACAAATATATCTAGGATCTTCACATATGGAGAAGATTAAATTATATGAAAAGTTTGAATTTCATGATCTGAACAACAGCTTTGGAATCAATAGGGAAGAAACAGACTCTGCATTCGTACATATTGAAATTAGTATTTAGTTGAATCACTCCCTTGACAGAAACTTTTTTTTAAGAACATTTTTTTATTTAATTTTTTTTGAACATGAAATGCTTTTTTATAGCATGTTTTACAAGGGGAGGGGGTAAGAGGGGTCAGGTGGTGGAAAAGTACAGAATCTTCTTGGCCTGTGCCTTGAAACATGTCATGGTCTATAGGGTACACTGCCTTGAATTATGATCTATCTGCTATTCTTCAGAAGATATGGTACACTGCTTGAGTTATGGTCTCCCTGCTATTCTTCAGAAGATATGGTACACTGCTTTGAGTCTATCTGCAGTGAAGGAGTCTGTGGGTCAGGAGTGGTGGCACACCCCTGTAATCCTCTCACTTTGGAGACTTAACAGTTTGAATGTGAAACAGCTCCCACAGTTTCATGTGTTTAAACACCTGGTAGGCATCTGTTTAGCGTATTTATGGAATCTTCAGAAAGTGGAGCCAAAGCTAGAAGCAAGGGGGAAGTTGAGGTTTATAGCTCAGACCTGTTTCTTTCTCTATCTGCCTCCTGTTCCACTGAGGTGTGAACGAACAGCTGTCACATACGCTTGGCTACATTTGCTTCTCACCATGCTGTCCCCATCATGATGCACAGGATTCCTTCAAATCGTGAGCCAAAGCAAACCTTCCCTCAAGTTGTTGACTTTCCCTCAAATTGTTCTTTGTCACATATATGGTTACAGAAATGAGAAAAGTGCCAAATACAATAGGTTAAGTTAGTAGAATCTTGAATAGAAGGAAGCTGTCAAAAAGGAAAAGAAAGGGAAGGGGACAGGGGGGGAGAAGTTGAGAAGGAAGATGTGTAAAATGTAAAAGGCACCTTATTTTTGGTGTAGGACCACATTAGGGTAATACACAGAGAAGGGAAATCTACCTGTGGTGTAGAACCATATTAGAGTAACACACAGAGAATACACAGAGGTGGGAAATCTGCGTATATTGTGTGTGTAATGTACAACCAGGCAGAGAGCAAGTGAAATAAAAGATAGATGACAGCCAGCTGAGTAAGTAGCTAACTTTCTGAAAGAGAGGGTTTCTTCTTGTTACAATTTATCAGAAAATTGTTTAAGCATTTTATAAGGAAGGCATTTTTCCCCTAGGAGGGAATTCTGTCCCAGGTTTGAGGCAATTTTTATCACAATTTAATTTTAAAACCTGGGAAGGCTAAGGGTGAAGTTATCTTAACTCTTCTACCTTAGTGCTTCTTAGGCTAGAGAGGGGGGAGGCTTGATTGATTCTGCTCCTTTTTCTAATACCCTATTATCTGAGAGTTACAAAGAACAAGTCCCAGTGTGGCTCTCAAGGGCACCCACATTCATTAAAAAAAAATACTAAAGCTTAAATCACACACTGAACCCCACATATTAATAATGTGAGAATTTAACACCCCACTCTCTCCAATGGACAGGTCACTGAAACAAAATCTAAACAGAGAAATAATAAAACTACCAGATGTTATGAAATAAATAGACCTAATCTCTCTACAGAACATTTTACCCAAACATAAAAGAATATGCTTTCTTCTCAGTACCTAATGTAACCTTCTCCAAAATTGACCATATACTCTGTCACAAAGCAAGCCTCAACAGATACAAGAAGATTGAAATAATCCTTTTCATCTTATCAGATCACCATGAATTAGAACTGGACTTCAACAACAACAGAAACAACAGAAAGCTTACAAACTCATAGAAACCAAACAACTCTCTACTAAATGCCTTCATAAAGAAATTGGAGAGATCTAATACTAGCAGCTTAACACCACATCTGGGCCCTAGAACAAAAAGAAGCAGACATACCCAAAAGGAGTAGATGGCAGGAAATTATCAAACTCAGGGTTGAAATCAATGAAACAAAGAGAACAATATGAAAAATCAACAAAACCAAGAGGTGGTTCTTTGAGAAAATCATTAGATAAACAAACCCTTAGCCAAACTAACTAAAAGGCAAAGAGACAATATCCAAGCTAAAAATTTTAGAAATGAAAAGGGGTACATAACAACATCCAAATCCAAAGAATCATTAGGTCTTTCTTCAAAAGCCTGTACTCCACAAAATTGGAAAATCTAAATGAACTGGATGATTTTCTAGATAGATTCCATTTACCAAAGTTAAATCAAGAGCAAGCAAACAATCTAAATAGTCCTATAACCCCTAAGGAAATAAAAACAGTCTCCCAACGCCGCCCCCCCCGCCCAAAAAAGCTAAGGGCCAAATGGTTTTAGAGCAAAATTCTACCAGACTTTCAAAGAAGAGCTTATATCAATACCACATAAACTGTTTCACAAAATAGAAACAGAAGAAACATTGTCAAACTCATTCTGGGAAGCCACAGTCACCCTGATATCTATACCACACAAAGACTCAACAAAGAAAGAGAACTTAAGACCAATTTCCCTTATGAACATTGGTGCAAAAATACTCAATGAAATACTTGCAAACCAAATCCAAGAACAAATCAGAAACATCATCAACCAAGATCAAGTAGGCTTCATCCTACGGGTGCAGGAAGGGTTCAGTGTAGGAAAATCCATCAACATAATGCA